AAAAAAAAAAAAGAACTTGCCTTAAACAGATTTGTGCTAAAAGATTTTTGTAGGAGAGGAACAGTTAGGGTGAATTACAGTCAACCATTAAATAAACAGTAACAAGACTAGAATATTATTATCTTAAGTGTCTCAACAATTAATTTCCTAATGAGAAATTTCATATACATCTTGTATTTTTATTCTTCTTCTTACACCTGTCAATATGGCTTGCTTGTTCTCATTTTGATAAATCTGCACTTTGAACATTCCTATTCCTATTTTCCAGTCAAAGTATTCAGCTGTCTGTTTTCACCTCTTCCTCTTGAACATGTCCTATATTTGATATGATCCGAAAGAAAATATGTTATCAAGTACAATTCTGCGGAGAATATTATCTCTGTGATGTAACCGGTAAGCCATTTCCCATTGAAAGAAAACACCATGGGTGTCAGAGTAGAATTTTCTTGTATAAGGTTTTTAGTGGAAACTCCTTTTTTTTTTAAGACACCAAGCATTTTCTTCAAAGGCACATCACTGTAAATTCATGCTTTCCACCTTTCACTTAGAAACTAAACATGTTAACCATTTGATACTGACAATCATGTATAATCAGTGCACGTTTTAAATATCATTTGTTTTTTAATTCTTGCCATATTTCTGTACACTATGAATTTATGCCATCCTTCCCATTGACCAACAGACCATCACTCTGTAGCCTTTTTAGAAAAGAGAAGGATGACTTTTTCTCGGATCTGCTTGGTCTTTACCCCATAAACAATGGGGTTAAGTGCTGGGGGGATAACAATGTACAGGTTGGCAAACATTATGTGAAAAGTTCGGGGGACATTGTGTCCAAAGCGATGGGCAAGGATGGAGAAGAAAGCAGGTGTATAAAACATAAGGATGACACAGACATGAGAACCACAGGTACCCAGGGCCTTCTGGCGGGCATCTTGAGAGGGGAGGCGAAAGACAGCACAAAGAATGAGGGCATAGGAAACGGCGATGAGAATCACATCTGAGATGACTGTCATGATGGGAACACAAAAGCCATACCAGATGTTGATGGAAATATCAGCACAAGCAAGCCGAGCAACACCGATGTGCTCACAGTATGTGTGGGGGATAATGTGTGTCCTGCAGAAAGGTAGGCGGGTCAGCAGGAATACAACTGGCAGGATGATGCAAAAGCTTCGGAAGGAGATGCCCACAACAATCTTGATGATGGTTTTGGGCGTCAAGATGGTTGTGTATCTCAGGGGGAAGCAGATGGCCACATAGCGATCAAATGCCATAGTCATCAAGATGGCTGAGTCTAGCACAAAGCTGGAGTGAAGAAAGAACATTTGAGTAAGGCATCCCGGGAAGGTAATTTCATGCGCCCCAAACCAAAAGATACTGAGAGCTTTAGGCACCCCAGCTGTGGACAAGACGAGGTCCGTCACGGCCAGCATGGAGAGAAAGAGGAACATGGGCTCATGCAGGCTGCGCTCCACTGCAATGAGGTAGAGAAGAACGCAGTTGCCCACGACAGCCATGAGGTAGATGCCGCAGAAAGGAATCCCAATCCACACGTGAAACTTCTCCAGGCCTGGGATACCCACCAGAGTGAAAGGTTCTGAGTTGTAACCGCTCAAGTTGAAAACCACCATAGCCACGTGGTGTCGCCCAACGGAGGTCCTGAGGAAGAAGAGTTACACAGGAGAGTGAGGGTTACTTCAGTCAGTCTAACTTTAACTACCTCGCCATTATGAACTACCTTCCCCAAATTAAGAGAGCATATCATTTACCCTTGAAGATGGGAGACACCTGAGAATAAATAAAAGGTGAGATTTCTGTGCTGGCTGAAAACATTCCCCCTAAAAATCAATCATTTCAACTGAACAGAACCCTTTCTAAGGTGTCGCCAAACCCACTGGTTACATACTTCACCGAACTTTCGACACTGACAATAATCACCCATTTTCATTGTACACTGCCTTTGGTTAAAGGTTAACAAAATACAACCCACATTTCACCACAGGTTGGTCATTTGTAATATATATAATACCCTTCTCTTTGTGGTCCTCATTGTGTAACATCTCCTTTGCCATTGTGTCATTTCCATCTTTGTCTCAATATTTAAGTTCACCTCACAAATACTCACTTAATTCCATGTTACCGATTACTGTGGCTCTTAGGTTTGTGCACCCCATGAACTTCTTTATTGTTGAAAATCCTAATCTGAAATAAGCTCTAGCTGAGTATGCTAGCTATCATTTATAACTCACATATGAAATGGGAAAAAATATCTATAGCTGAGACTCGTATCACCTGGCTCCTCTAAAGAAGTACTTTCCACCAACCTAGAATACAGGCTTTTAATACTAATACTTTGAATTTAATGGGCTTAATAGTCATAATTTTTGTCTAAAAGGAGCATCCTTACTTTTGCTCATACTTTAATATTTTATTAGCTAGCAACAAAGACATGAAGATACCGAATCTCTCAAATTCAAACAAAATAAAAATTTACCATGTTAGACATATCATGATTGATATTCTCTCACACATCCTACCCACGCTTAAGCTTACACCAACATAAAGATATCCCTGTCTCTCTCTGAAGTCTTCACACATGCAAACATGAACACACTCGCGCACATTTGGTCTCCCTCTCTCTCACTCACTTACTTGTATCAGACACTGATCAGAAATTGAAAAGAAGCAAAATAGTTCATGAATAGATCAATCAATGCCACATGCTTTGTAAATTTCCAAACAGCTTACATCTGTCTCTTGAAATACTAGGCCTCACATTTTCCCTATTCTCCTGTAATGTCCCACACAGGTGTGTGCAGAGAGATGGAAACCACATGGATGACCAGACAGCAAAAGAAGGGACTCCAGTATCAGCACAAAGATGAGACTCATCATGGTCGATAACTCAGATTCCTGGCATCTATCCCCCTCCTGTAGTCCT